TAAGCAAGTTTCAATTTTCTCTTCATAAGTTTCTGAAGAATGTTATTTGTTGGAAATTTTTCCATTTGAAAATTTTCTCTTCGTATACATATGCACAATTATACATTAAAGAATTCTCAAGAAACGCTTCTCGAAGATAGCCTTTTTTCCTTTTATTCCATTCATAGAGTTCGATAAAGTTAACTTTATGTATCAATTAATTATCAATTTCATGTTGTATTGGATAAAAAACAACGACAAATTAAATGGAAAAATATTTTTACAAAAGCGCTGTTCTTTCATTTAATTGCTTGTATAAAAGGTCGGATGAAACTTATATTTAGGGGAGTTAGTTCTGATGATTTTGATTTTCATATATATTGTCAAAGACATTTTTCTGTGTAACCCTCAAGAAATTTTAGTCGTAGCTTGTTTTTTATTAAAAAGTTCTTAATAAAAAATATTTGTTTGCAAAATATATTATTCTGAGTAGAGTTTATACAAAAATACATAATTTCCCGCGCGATATAGAAAATTAATGTATTATGGACATATAAGGGAATTTATTTTAAGCTCGTAGATTCAGTATAAACAATAGAATGTGTCGATATTGCTTTTAAACATGATATTGTGATATATTTCTATCCGTCGTCATCATCATAGTTTTGTATATTATTAAATTAACAAGAACATGCGATCTCCCTACAGTGTGGACACGGAGATTCTTATCTAATATAGGGAGGTATTCTCAATAGAGGGCAATGTTTTATACTGATAAAAATTTTAATTATAACTATATTTTTTTATTAAAATTGGTTTTTTATTTTTTTCATGTGAAAATCCATAGCATACAATTATTAGTAATATGTAACGTTATTTTAAGAAAAGTTATAAATTAAAAATAAATATGCTTCTGTTCCTATTTTTTTTTTTTTTTTTTGTTTTTAACAGCCACTTTCATCATATCCGAATTTTATTCTTCCCTCTTCGAGGACATCAGATTTTATGTAAATATTCTACAGCAGCAGGTCATTTATATGTCAGCAAGTTTATTTAAAAAATGAGTTTCTGTTACGGCGCGATGCATTAAGCGATATGAACACGGTTCGCGCGTTTATGTACGAGGCGGATAGCGACCGTGTGGTGAAATGTTGTGTAGTTAGAAGTTGCATGAAAGTTAGCGATTCCGATATAGGACTGAAAATCGCGAGAAGTGGATTGTATTAATTTACAAGTGACAATCGTACGACGTGTTATGGCTATAGGTCACGATTACTCGCATTACAATGGTGATAACGACTTCTCAGCCGATGCGAGCCTGTTTTATACCATTTTGTCAGTGATCTCCATTCAATTATTATAAATAGTGATACGTTCGACTTGCTTAGCGCAGGTCAATTAAATTGGGGCATTGACCGAACGATAATGCTAACCGTTCCTGGACTTATATCAAACATAACAGGCTCGCTGATCAACGAAAATGAACAATAAGTGCGTATGGAAGACGTTAGGACTTTTTGCCAGTATGAAAAAGCGGTTAAACATGAAAAAACAAAGCAATAAATTTCTTTATGCGGTTCAAGTCCAAATCGTCTTTTTTGTAGAAGATTCTAGAAGCAGTGATATAATGTATTTTCACATCGCAAATATCTCACGAGGTAATGAGAAATGCCTGAACAGTTTCAATACAATCACATATTTAATATGTCCATATTAGTAACAGAATATCTCCTTGTAAGAGAGACATTTTTACATTTCATGCAAAAGTTTTATAATTAAACTTCACTTAAGACTTTAGAAGAATGACAATAATAAATGCTTACGAAGTTGCGATTTTAAAGTACAATTCAGTATGTAATTACTTATCTTTCAAAAAATATAACGAAATGCAACAGAGCATAAAAACTTTTGTAATAGTTGTTTTAACTTATCGACTCCCAATATTTATATAAGATCGTAAAGTTATCGGAACATGCCTGATTCTTCACGTATAAAAATAAATAATGACATTGCATTAATCACTATCACTGTCTGTGTTGCAAATGGAGTGCAC